GGCTGCCGTGCTGCCTTACCTGAACCAGGTCCCTGGTTGTCCTTTATAAAGGCAACAACAACCTTGAAAAGAGCACAGACAAATTATGGCTTCTTCTTTGGCTACGGGGCAGAAAGACAGAGACTTTCTACAATCTCGGAATCACCAATACCCACAGATTCCGACACAGATTGAGGGAGCAAACAGCTGAAAAGACGTCTCAAATCAGCAGGGACAAAAGTTTTGGAACCTAGAGTAGCTTTTAAAATGCTCTTAAAAAATTCACTCCTTTCTCCAAATGCACGTTTTGTTTTGCAGAGTTCCCTGATACTGTCATATGAAAGGGGCTCCCATCTAGGGTTTTGTCCTCTCGCATTATAAACCACTGGGGCCATGAACGGAGGATCGGAGTCTCTGGCCAGTTTCTGTTTCCCGGAGCCGACAGTCCCAGAGCTGGCAGCTCCAGCGCTGCCGTTGCCGAGGGAAGCAGGAGTGAGAGGGGGGCGGCTTGTGTGGGAGTGGCCGCAGCTGCGGGGCCATGTGGAGCGGGCTGGGGGCAGGGGGTGGTGATGGAGCTGCGAGGGGAGGAGCTGAGGGCTGGACCGTGGGCTGAATCCCGCAAGGGAGGAGGGGCTGGGACTGGGGACAGGCAAAGGGAGGAGTACGAGGGCTGGGGCTGTGTTCTGGGCTGGCACAGGGAGCCAGGAGTTCTGGGATGGAGAAGGGAATGTCGCGTGGCCGCCTCCATCTTGTGGTGGCTGCGCGAGGGGGGTGGGGGGTGCAAAGCATGGATTTTGAGCTGCGGGAGCAGAATCAGGAGATGGAGAAGGGTTAGGAACTGAATCTACATCTGCGCGGTTAGTTTTTTCAAAGCCGGGGACGCGGGGGTTTACAGGGGACGCGATGTGACGCTTTTCTGTTCCCCGGGCGTCCCGAGTGTCTGCACTCTCTTTCACAAAGTCATAAACGAACAAAAAGATTCTCTTAAAACCTTCTTTCACTGAGGGATCTCCTGCCTTTGTCCTTTCACTCAACACTGCACCCACACGCTTCCAAAACTGTCTTTCTTTCACTTCTTGCTCTGTTACCTCCGAAAAACTTACTGTTACCCATCTGACAGACTCTTTCACCAGGCTCTTAGGAAGTTTTGCACCTGCTCTCTGCAGGGGTTCTTGAACTTGTTTATAAATCTCTTTCTGCTGTGTAGTCAGCGTAACACCCATCGCTGGCTGCACAGCACTGTCTCACCCAGTTACTGCAGCAAAACCCCCGAAGTTTTAAAGCCACTCCCACCACGCCCGCGCGTTGGCGTGTCCCTCTGTGGGAGCACGGGAGCCTAAGTCCAGTCTCCTGGCCGGACCCCTCCCCGCCAGTACCGAGACTTACCCACCGCCGTTTTTCAGAAAACACACTGCAGCAACGGTTCCCGACTCCGCAAACAGCCTTCCGGGTGTTAGGAAGGTCCCGTCCGCATCCACGGACACCGCGCCGGACAGAAATCGGCGCCTCTGTCCCCGCGGCGGCAGTCCTGCCGGGCTGTGTGGAAGGGCGAGTGCCCCACCACCAGCGCAGTCCGAGAGCTTCTCCCCGTGGAGCTGACAGCCTGTGTGGCATTTTTCACACCGCTCGCTGCTCTGTTGCTCACGGCGACACAGATGGCAAAGCGTCCGGAAAAGCTCCAAACCGGCGAACTGCCCACAGCGGCCACGGCGCGTTCGCTCAAACCGGTGCAATGCCTCACGTTGGTGCACCACTTGCGGCTTTCGGGGGTCACTTGCGGCTGTCCTCCGTCCCTCCCCGGCCCCCCGGGACCCCTCCGGCTAGCTGTCCCCTCAGGGGACCAGGGTTTGCTGCGGTCCCGCTGCACTGGGCTTACCAGGCAGCATCTGGGTTTGCACGATCCGAGCAGCTGTGCGCCTCGGTCACCGCAAGGATTCGGGATAAAGAGACGAAGAGAGGTCAATTTGTGTGCAGTCCAGAGAAATTGTATTGCCTGAAAGGTTGCTGCCGCTGCGGCTGAAGCTCCGTGTCCGTGTGTCCCCGTGTCCGTGTGTCCCTGTGTCGCTGTGTCCCTGTGTCACTGTGTCCCCGTGTCCCTGTGTCCCGTGTCCCATGTGTCCCCGTGTCCGTGTGTCCGCTGCCCCCTCGCCCCCGCGCCCAGCCCAGCGCTCCCCGGGCAGCCCCTGAGCCTGTCCAAACACGGGAACTTTGCCCTGTTCAGCCCAGACCCAGAGTCTGGACTCCTGCCCAGGGGCACAGGAATCCCCTCGGGCGCTGCTGTGCATTGTCCCTGCTGAGGGTCAAACACTATCGGAGCGCATTCCCTGAATGCTGAATTTGTAGCTGACCCAAGAACTGCACTTACCTATCCATCATTGATTTCCAAAAATAATAAAAAAAAAAAAACCAGGGGAAGGTAAAATGTGTGTAGCTCATGGTATTTTAGAGTGTCTAAAACTTGCCAAATCGTGGATCTTAGAAGTGAGATCCATTTGCAATTAATGGGATGGGGAAGTAGTGCAAGATGGAAAAGGGGAGCATAAAAATAAACAGAGAAAAACATCTTGGATTGTTTCTTTCCATTTTCATTTCATTTCTTAAAAGCTGTTTCAGTTTTCCCAAAATCTTCTCCACAATCCAGTTTGCTCTTTCCAAGAACCTTTGCTGGAGAATGAGGAAGCTTTGAGCAGCTTCTGTCACAAGATGTGCCACCAGCTGCGGCTTCTCTTGGCTTCCCACACCGTGTGTGCAGCTTGACTCCTGTAGAAAAGCAGGACAAATATTTGAAGAACTTTACAACTTATTCTTTCTTTTCCTTGTGGGCTGGGCAGTTGTGCCATTGGTGAGATTTTCACTCTTACTGCTCTAGCCTTAGAAACCATGATGGGCTCCCAGGAATTGTCAGTGAATGCAGAGAAAGAATCTCCTGAGCCTGCAGCCAGAAATGGAGAGCAGTGTGATAATCGTTCCAACATCCCCATGGACATCTTGAAAATTATGTAGAAGATGAAAATGGGCTGACAGAGGGAGTTTGTTTCTGTGTTCAGTTTAGAAGCTTCCACCTCTCAAGCACTGATATAAATCAAGAGTACAATCAGTGCATGAAAAGCACCAGAACAAGCTGGTCCTCTCAGTGGATGGCTGAAAGAATCTGAAAAGGAAAAAAGCAGGGAATGATTTTGTGAACTTTCCCTGTACGATGGAACATTTTTACTAATAATTTCCAACCTATTCCCTCTGCTTTTGTCCTTCCTAACAAGGCCATTTTTATCCCAGATTCCCCATGAAGTAAGAACCCTGAGCTTGTGGAAGTGCCTGAAAGATGCCCTGTTCCTCTGCAGGGACACTCAGGCTGGAGCAGGAGCCCTCTCTGGGGAAGCCTCCTCCGAGCTGGAATTTGTACCTTGCTGGGAGAGGAGGAGGAGGGGGAGAAGGCTGGACACTGTGTGGCAGGAGCAGGGATTTGGGCCGCAGGACATTCCGTCTGTGCCGCTGCCCCGCAATGGGTGGGAACGCTGTGGGGATAACTGGGGGACACTGGAGCAGAATATGGATGGCACTGGGGGGAACTGGGAGGGCCTGGGAATGAACTCAGGTGTATTGGGAGGGACTGGGCTGTACTGGGATGGATTGGAGGGGCACTGGGGCTGTACTGGGCTGTATTGGGGATGAACTGGGCTGTGCTGGGAAGGACTGGAGTGGCACAGGGGTTGTCCTGGGCTGTACTGGGGATGAACTGGGCTGTACTGGGAGGGATTTTAAGGGCACTGGGGCTGTACTGGGCTGTACTGGGGATGAACTCGGCTGTACTGGGAGGGATTTTAAGGGCACTGGGGCTGTACTGGGCTGTACTGGGCTGTACTGGGGATGAACTCGGCTGTGCTGGAAGGGATTGGAGGGGCATGGGGGATGTACTGGGCTGTGCTGGGAGGGACTGGAGGGGTTGAATGGGCTGTTCCCTCCTCTGCTGCCTCCCATTTGCCGAGGCTCCCGCCCATCACGGCCTCCAACCAATCAGCGCCAGGTATCATGGCTTTGGGGGCGGTGCCTGGAGCCTGCGCCATCTTTTCTTTTGCCTACAACTCCCGTCATGCTCTGCGGCCCCATAGAGCCCTATTAAAGCCGGGACTACAACACCCATCATGCCCCGCGCACCACAGACCCTCGGTATCCGCCCCGATCTGTCTCACAAGTGTCCCTCAGACCCTCCGGGATCCCCAAGTGCCCCTCAGCACCCATTCAGGACCCCCAAAATTTCACTGGCAAAGTACAAAAGAACAAGAAACTTTGGAAAAGCATTTAATACAAATCCAATCCAGTTTAAATCACTTGTCATAGTAGTAACTTCATTCACTCAGCCCATTTAGCCTGGAAAGGTTTAAAGACTTAAGTTGTTCAGGTACCCAAAAATGTTCCATATAAAGAGCATTAGAAAGAGAGGAAAAAGAGACAGACAGGAAGACAGAAGCTCCACAGTGTGGGAATCCAGGGCTTCCCTCTGGCTGCCCTGGAGGGCCTGGGACCCTGGCAGGGGTCAGGAACCCCCCTGTACAGAGCCCCGAGAGACATTGGCTGTGATCTCTGTCCGTGGAAAAGAGTTTTCAATCCTACAGGATGAATTACAAGCTCTGAGTGTTTGATATGAGTAATAATTAAGTGTGGCAGAGGTGCAAAAGTAAAATTTTAGGATTCTAGATTAGGGGTTCAGAGGGGACAAGATGGAGGAAATTGGGTGTGTCTTGTCCTTTTCCTCCTTCTTCATGCCCTCCATGTTTCACTGTAGCGTTGGCATTTTTCTGTTGGTTTAGGCTGGGGACACGCTGTTTAACGTAGGTGACAGATATTGGCACATTATTGTAAATATAGCACACGTAATTTCTGGTATATAATGTTTGTACCATCCCACTGGGGGCAGAGCCCTGCACGCTGCCCTGCAGGACAGACCTGCGGCAGGGCAGCAGAACATGTTAGAGATAAACAGAATAAACAACCTTGAAAGCAGCACAGACGAATTATGGCTTCTTCTTTGGCAATGGGGCAGAAAGAGACTTTCTACAATCTCGGAATCATCAATACCCACAGATTCCAACAATTTTCCAATCTATGATGAATGCTAAACAAGATGAGGGCTATTCCTTGACATGTCACACTAGTGAGAAAGTTAAATTACTTCTTAGTGAATTCCAAGTTTAATGTATCCACACAGAGGGTTAAATGCTCCTGTGCCACAGACATAAACATGGGTCCAGTTGTACGGCTGAAGAACACGGTTAAAATTGGCACAATCTGTCTGTTGGAAAAAGAAAGATAAAGGTTAATTTTCATGTTTATTCTTTTTTTCCACGTTATACATTCTACTAAATTACAGCCATAGCACTGGTGTACTTAAAACTACTGTAGCAGGGACTGTTCACGAAGCAGTTCAAAGCTGTGACAACTACAATTTGATAGCCGCTATCTACCAGGCAGTTCATCAATCAGACATGCAAACCTAATTCTGCTGTAATGCTTACAGCCACAAGAAGCTGTGTGCTCACAGCACAGTTTGGAGGGTATGTGTTCAGCCTGTGTCCTGGCAAACAACACCTGCCAACAGCTGGGCAGAGGTCGCAGAGCCACTGGGTTTGTCTGGCTACCAATCCTCCTGCCTTTGCTTCCCAGCTCAGGGTGCTTTAACACCAAAGATTACATGATTAAAGTAACTGTGGTGCGCTGAAAGGCTTCAACGCACTTCAGTGGGTATGCTTTGTCTCTGCACCAGCCACATCTTACTGGTGACTCTTTTTTGGTTAAATCTGAGTCCAATGAGCTGTCCTGGCTCTAGCTGGGCTTGGTCCTTGCTGGGCAGATGCTGTGTGCTCCAAGGATGATACATGGGCTGGAGGACAAGGCTTGCTCTAGCTTTCCCCAAAATGAAATTAATACAGAAAAACAAAACAAGTATTTTGAGGGAATATAAAGAATCTGTTCATACTTTCTAGATATCACCCTACACCTAAGTGAGAGTCCAAAACAAATATTTCCCTCCCAGGACCCTTTCAATCTTCTTTTAGTATAGAAACAGAACAAATCTTCCATATACACCCCTATAAGAAAATTTCCTGTGCTCAGCAAAGGTGGTGTTTAGGTTTTGACTGCTGTAAGGACAGTGGTAGCAACAAGTTAGAATTAGAAGTTGAAATTCTTCAGGCAGAGAGCTGAGAGTGTTTTGAGCTGCAATCTACCTTGGTAACTGACATGCTGGATAGAAATTAGGACATTTTTTCTGAGACAAAATGAAAAAAAAAATATTTTACAGCCAGAAAATGTTTACATTCATAGTGGGCTCTAGACACATGATGTAATCTGTGGTAAGCAAAACATATAAAGTTGTATTGTATACACGTATGTACCTTAAATATACTTCCTAAAGAAAATTTGTGGTTCCACAGAAAAGCCATTGAGTCTGAAATTTTCTTTTAACCCTAACTCAAACAGTCTGCAAGTTAAGTTGATTTGTACACTGCTCTACTACTCTGTTTCTTTAATGAATTATAATGAAGTTACATTCAGGACACTCCCAAGAAAAAAAGAAGCATTTTAATGTGAAAAGAGAGGATTTCATGGAAGTATTGCCTGGTAGACATTTCTGAGGTAAGTCCATTTGTCTCCCAGCTGCATTTATTACATCAAAGGAAATATTGATGCAATATTGAATTTTTAAAAATATTAATATTTAAGAAACAATAGAAATGTAATTTTTTTTTAAATTAAGAAAAAACACTTAGTTCAGAAGAAGTGTAACAAGACCTTACTAATGCATTTTGTGCATTTACTAACAAACACACAGATATTAATAAATCTCAGCAATAATAAAAAATATACATCATACTTACCTGGGCATCTTTCCCAGCTAATTTGCATAATTCTACCTTTTCTTTTGCTGCAGGCCAGTAAATCTGTAACATAGTTAAAATAAAACAAAAATTATGAAGATTATAACCTGTCCTGTGACTGACAGATTAATTAGTCCATGAATAAACAGTTAAAACAGATTTATGCAGGTGAAAAACCTTGCCTGTAAACTGTAATGAAAATGACTTCAAATACAAGATTCCATGACAAAAAGTTACAAGGTTTCAAATCAACCCCACCGATCTTTGTTTATTTCTTCATTGGCTTTTAAAAAGCATTCAGTTAATCTGGCCAGGGCACCTTGTCACTATTATGTGTTTTCCTCAAAGTTATGATGAGCCAAATCATCTGGAAACTAAACTGATTTCAAAGCCAGGCAAATTACATTTGTGAAGAATTTAGGCCAGTGGACTTGGCATAACTGTTATAAAAAAATACTTAGCTCTTTCTGCCAGTTTTCAAATGAAAAGAATTAGGTTCAAAAAACTAAGGGTAGCTCAAGGGAAATTAGTAGAACAAAAAGTACATTTGACAGAAATCAACAGTGCGTGGTTTAAAAATGTCACCCATCAACATTAACTGAGTTTACTGAGAAAATGAAACAGAAGTTTAGAGTAGAATTGAGGACCTTAGATAATTGGCATTAAATATTGATGTTGTTCCTCTTTCTTTTTTAATCTGCCCTGAAGAATTCTATAAAATGGGGTTTGATGTAGATGAATCCAGATGGCAAAATACTACCAGTTACTGTAATCCAAATTATGTAAGTGAAGAAATATAAATGAACAACAGCTCAGGTTCTGCCTCACTGATTTCAATTAAGCAGTCAAGACTGGATATGATCGAGTACAGGTTTGATTCTAATAAATTTAAAATAGAAGCTAAATATAAATTCTTCTACAACAACATTGATAAAAATAGGTATTTTTTACTTCTAATTTTGACAAGACAAAACTGTTATTTCTTATAACTAATAGTAAAAACACTACAAACCACACTACTTTTTAAGCAAGTATTGATTAGTACATTGTCTCAAGTCCCAGGCACCAGTCATCAGGTCATTAGTAGCCACAAATGCTTTAGAATAGTCTCCAATCACACTTTACAAAATCTTTAGTAGCAAATATATAAGAATGAAGAATTATTGCAATATGCATCAGAAATAAAAACATCACCAAGGAAAGATGCACAGCCCAATGGCATACAGGAGTAGTTGACTGCTGTCATATTCCCTTTCACCCAGCTATTGGCACCTTGTAGAAGTGGCTTGATGTACACAGGCTCAGTCCCCATGGGTAAGAAAGCAAAAAACCAGTGTCCTTTGTCAAGTACCTTTATTTCCCAAAACCTACAGTCACTGTTTCTCTCAATCTGGAAACACTTTGATTTTACTTCTTCCTCTTTGATTCCCAGTGAAAATGGATGTATTGGATTTTTGCAAGGAAATTCATTTCCTCTCACATGAATTTAGTTACCTTTCTGATAAAGACCTCTTAGCAGAGATAATGAAGTTTGAGTTACTTAAACCTTAACCCTCTACAATATTTACAAAGAGTCAGAGATAAAACAGTGTAGCAGCATTGCAGCAGTGGAGCATAACTTAGCTTTCCCAGGGCATTTTCTCAGAATGATGTGGTCATCATTCTGACCACATACCTATGAATGAGGTATAAAAAAAAAGCAATCTGAAATCAGCTGTGCCAGGGTGTGTGGGCGGCACAGTGCACAGTGCCAGGAAGCACAGAGGAAAGTACTGGGAATATCAGGAAGGGCTGAAGGTAGGTCAAGTCTGGTCTCTGCCTGGGCAGAGAGGGATGAGTCACCACTGCAACACAGGTTAAGTTTAAGAAGAAAAGCTGATGAAAATGTACCAGTGAAGAAAAGCTGATCAGAAGGAAGAGACAGATAAATGTGAGATCACAGATCTCCAAACACACCTGGCCAAGGAGATTTGTCTGAGCTGTCAGTTCTCCTGTACATAAACTTTATGCCCAATTCTGCCCAAGATCCCTGAATCATTTACAGCAAAGCCTAGAGGCCAAGGAGCTTGGGAGCTGTTTGGCAGAAGTTTAGTTATCCAATTAGGCAGACAGGATGTCTCTTTGTAGGCTTTTGAAAATGCCCAACTCTCCTTGTCAAATACACAGAAGAACTGGAGGAGTTAAAACCAGAGACATCTGCTTCGAGGCATCAGAAGTGTTAATGGACTTGACTTACTCTCCATTCTTCTACAGATTCCTTCATGGAAATTACTGTTTGTCCTACAAGGCGGAAATACACACACCCCCACTTCTATGGTAATTGACCACAGACAATTATATTAAAAAATCAATTGTTTTACTCTCTAGTTTCTCAACAGACTCAGTATTTAGCATTATAAGGCCACATTAGACAATGAAAAGTGAAGCTAAACGATCCAACTTGAAAATCAATTTGTAATTATATATGGGGTAGTAAAAGTGATATTTATTTGCATTACATATAAGAAATGAGAGGTTCCCAGAAACTGTCAGTTCTAAATTGTAATAGATCAAGAAAATTACATAATAAATAATGAGTTGATGTGCTGAGCAAGAAAGCATAAACCTCATTTTTTATTATAGGACATGCTGTGTAACAGTACCGCAGGTCTGGTTCTCTCAAACCCTGACACAAGTAACGTTACACATCTGTATTGACTTTTCTGTAGGGGGTGAAATTAAGTTTTACTATTATATTTTATTCTGATGAGTTACTTAGTTTTACAAAATCCCAAAAAAGTAAGACCACATGCTTCTGTAGTTCCTGTTAGATATAAAATCATTGCACTTTTAAACAGTTTGAAGCTTTGAAATGGGTAAATTTTAAATATTTTTTCTATTTACATGCTTCATTCACAATGTTAAGAACTTAATAACAAATGAATTTTTTCCCCAAATTCCTCAATAAGCAAAAATTTCAAGGAATGGAAACAAAAGACAGATAACCCAAGGCACTATATATTAAAGGTGACAACAACATTGACTTAAATTATAATCATTTTGTGTTACAAACAGTACAAATTATATATTTAATATATTTTATAGTATATATGTATCTGTATTTGAAATGTCTGGAAAAATCTTAGAATCTCTTAATGGAGTTACTAAATTTAAGGCAAGAATGCAACGAGATGGAATATGTGAACTGTATACTTAAATAGAATTCTTTTCTTAATCTTCAGTTTATTTTCATTTTAAAATAACCATATCAAAATTCCAAGGTTGGCTACTGTCATGATTTCCAGATTTTATCTTCTATTGCCCAATTAAAAAAAAAAAACAAACCAACCTTAACATTACTTTTAAATCATTCTTCAAATATTTTCTTAAATTTAGCAACAGGAAAGAAATTAAATTCTCCTAATAAATGAAAGTTAATAAGCTCTTTACTATCAGAGAGAAAGAATACCTCCCAGGAGTATGAAATTAAGCAGTACATAAGCATAGGACAGATAAGGTATCACTTTAAAGGCTAGATGGAAATTGATTTCTGATTAAAACAAAACATTTAAAACCACAAAGGTCTTTTAAAATCAGGAGCAGCAGATTTCTAAAAGTAACATTTTCCTGTCCACTAAATAGGCGTTTTTACTATGAGAAAGGAATGAAAAGGAAAGCAAAAATTGTTAAAAATGTGTATTATTTATATATAGATATATAAATTGGCATGTGGATGCTATATATATATATATATATATATATATATATATGCATATGCATATATGTATATAAATATATACACATATATGTATATACCGATGTGTGTGTGCATATATATATATATGTAAAATATAGGGGTCCACCCTTCTCATTCCAAAAGAGCTGTTATCTGTCATCAATGAATAACGCTGGTATTTTACTCATTTTTCAGTATCTATGTATCTATCTCAGTATCAGATTTTGTTCCTAAGCTAACACTTCAGACTATAAATCCTTAGGAGAACGGGTTCTCAAAATAAAACAGTGAAGTCCGATTACAAAAAAAAAAAGTTGTGTGAAATTACAGCTTTTTCATTAATCACTTCTAGATAGGCTTCTAAATCTAGCATGGTGCAGGACTTCATAAAATTAGTGGAAATGTTATATATTGTCCAAAATACAAAAGAGGAAGACCGCAAGCTACCTAAACAATTAAAAAAGCCATTGGTCTTCATCTGTTTGTAAGGTTTCAAAACAAGTTTTTAGTGAGGGAAGAGATAACACAAGTTTCCAATGAAAATGGAGTGTGGTAGAGAAAGAAACATAACTTGGTAAACAGACATTGGTTCACTCTAATATTGTACTTCAATAACCCAGCTGAAGTGCATTGAGGTGCTAGAGCTGCTCTTCCCCATGGCTCCACTTAAGTAGTTACTAAATTGTCACGTGGAAACTGATTAGCTCAGCTGCAAAAAACAGGCACTAGTACAAGAAAAAAAAAAAGGTCTAATAAGTAAAGAACTTGAGGTAGAAAACTACTCATGAAGTTCCTCAAGAAACAGTGTCAGAGCTCATCCTGTTTCATGTACCCTTCAGCAGCCTTGCTAAAAACCCAGAACTCTGCCACGACACATGCAGGTGACAGAAAGTTGGGAAGCACCACTAATACAAGTGGGGTTAAATTAGGCAGGAAGAATCAAAGGGCTCTGAAGACCAGAATTATAAACAGCCAGAGGAAATGGGTATAAACTGCTCATAAATAAATATATATCATAGATCATGGATTTTAACAAAAATTAAATCTGAAACATTGGAGTAACAAGGATGTGTCCCACAGCAACAACATTCCTAAAGAAGTTGCATGAAGTATCCCAAAGAGCCACTTAGAGCAGCTGGGTCACAAAAGGAATAACTGCTCCATGAGGTAGGTGGTGCTGATAGCAGGGAGTGAGACCAATTGACCAACCTGACTCCTGCCAGTTTCACGTCCCCAAGACAGCCACGCTCATGCCAGCAGCAAGCACTTGAGTGTCCCACGGAGGCTGTCGGCTTTCAGCAGCCCTGGGGCTTTCACCAGAGCCTCTCCCGTGCCTGATGCCAGGCAC